AAGTCATATGCCAAAAAGGCGTTCAAGGCAATTAATTCAGGAAAAGAACTCACTTATACATAATTCAAAAACGTAGGCATAATAACCCCAACAAAGTGCAGCTAATATGATCACCACTGGTACCCACCTCACGGCCTGGAAAGTAGACGTTTCAAAGATTTCAACAAAACACTTTTCCAAAAACTTCTAAAAAATATAAAGGAACAAAATTCTTAATTTTAAAGCAACTACTCTAGTACTTTACTTGTCAAAAATTATTCGTACACTTGGAAAAATATCGACTAAACTTTACCAACCGCTTTAGCAAGAAGCAACAACTTCATTGTCGCAATTCAATTTTACTGGATCATGGTACAGCAATGAAGTTACACAATAAGGCACTGATACAAAGAAGTACGCAGTTGTACAAATTTTATAAAGAAAATATTGATTGTCACTTCATGACTTCAAGCACGTGACTGTCTTTGAAAAAAGGCAGCTGATAAGAAAGTTGATAAACAGGTGATTTGATTTGAATTATCTTCTGCCTTTCAATGTTTGAAGCTATTTACCCTCTCAAGACAGGGTCGAAATTAGATTATTAAGATATAATCATTTTGAATGTTCAGAGAACGAAATAAAAAATTATTCGCTCTGCGAAAATAATGTCAACAAGGAAATAAAATAGACTCAAACATAATGCACCAGTATAAAATATACTAGTGGGCCAAAACCTGTCGGTATACCATAGTACAGGAAGAAGAACGGGTCCAATTGTAAAATAAGATCAAGGATTCTAGATTGCGGCATACAGGGAATAGGATAACTCAAAATGAAACCTATACCGCTGCTACATGTTTCATTATCTGCATTATAAGTCTTGTCACAACAAGTTTTCTTCAATAACATGTTTCGAAATTACAATGTCTTCGATTTAATTTCATCAAACGGTTCTTTTGCAAATCAATGCATGAAAGTCAAAAACTTCCTGCTTAAACTGATGCAAAGTTCAGTTACTCAGACAATTCACCGGAACTTCCGCAGGACAAGCCAACTTTGCGGAAGTTCCGCAGGATTTTGTTTACTATTGGAAAAATGGAAACGTTGAAAATGGGATCTTCCGCAAGATTTTCACACCAAATTGGTTGAAAACGGGAACTTCCGCAAAACTTTTTACAAAACGCTGCGAAAATTCCGAAAATGCCAAAAATTCCGCAGCGCCTTTGGCCTGCCAGTACTTCCGCAGG